ATGGAAATGAAATATGTGGGACACTTTGGTGTTGGTGGAGAAATGGGATTCAATTAAGATACCTTGTACTGGAGCTTGCTCAGCATTTCTGCCTATGTGGTACAGCACACCCAATGTCCTTGTCTGTACAATGGGAATAGTAATTTCCTGTCCTACCTGTCAGGTTTGTAGTAAAGATTCAGTTGACAGATACTTTTAAGAAGATAAAGCACTTTTCAAGTTAGAAACCTTATTTTTTAGACCAAATGCTTCTTTTGGACCTGCCTCTGATTGATTTTACTCTCAGGCATATTGGAGAGTGGGTGGGGAGGTGGGTGATGACTGTGAATCTGCCTTATCCCATCCTCTCACCTCTGGCTGTTACCAAGTACAGGGGCACCCTTCTGTCGTGTTCCTACCAACTCAGTGAGCCTCTTGTGGGCCCAAACTCTATATCAGTCCTGGGCGAGCCATTGGTAATTGGACTGGTTCTCTGTGGTGTAGACCACTACAATACAGGCACAGTATGAAGTCCTTAGGGAGGCCTTAGTGTGGCATTAGAGGATCAGAGGTTCATTTCATCCTGGGCTTTAACAAGGGCTTGTCCCAAGGGGTGGCCTGAGAGCCAGTAGCATGTACAAGTCACCTCCCCAGGATATGCCTCTTCTCCCAGCACCATCACATAGCTATTGAGCAGTTATTTGGTGGCAGGCAGTGCCTGTGCAAATGAACAAAAAATAGATTTCCCTTGACCTGTGGTTCTTTTTAGTCTTCTGTTGATTGAACATGTTAGGTCAGACTACCAGGAGTGTGGGAATTACTGCCTTGAGTTGCTTCCTCTTTCTTGGATGAGCTCAGCCCTCAGTGACCTCTTATCTAACTGAGTATGAGACCATGGCCAGATAACACTGGTCAAGGCGAAGCACAGAGGAGCACCTGTCTCATCTTGGTCTGAGGAGCCTGAGCTGAGCCTGAATCACTGGTAAAAGTTAGCTAGGTTATGGAGGAGAAAGCAGGAGGTGGAAAGTTGTCTAAAGAGAAAGAAAGGCATGTGTGAACAGAGGAGACAGTTGAGTGTTCTCTGTGCTTGGGAAGCTCTGCTCATTGTGGCTGGAGCAGAAGGATTGTATTCAGTTTACTGAGTAAAAAAAGGTACAGAAGAAAGTTTTTTTTGCCAGGCACCAGTGGCTCATGCCTATAATCCTAGCTACTCAGGAGGCTGACATTTGAGGCTTACAATTCAAAGCCAAAGCCAGCCTGTGTAGGAAAGTCCATGAGACTCATATCTCCAACAAACCACAAGAAGACTGGAAGTAGCTCAAAGTGGTAGAGTGCTATCCTTGAGCTGAAGAGCTGAGGAACAGCGTGCAGGCCCAGAGTTCAAGTCCCACGACCAACCGCCCCCCCCCCAAAAAAAAAAAAGCTTATTTTTTGTCAGTCATGGGCCTTGAACTCAGGGCATTGGTGCTGTCTCTAGGCTTTTTTGCTTTTGTTCATTCATCCCAGCAAGCTCCCTACAACTTGTAAGGACAGACCCATCGGTGCTTAGGGCTTCCGGAGCTAATGCAATGGGAAAGAAGGTGTCTCTGCCGCCTGTTCCAGGCCAACTCAGGGTTCAGTTGTGCTCCAGGGCAGGCTTCATTAGTTGTGGACATCCTGGCTTTCCCCACCACCCTTTTGCCATGAAGATCACACAGCCCCTCTAATTAGTTATTGATCTGGCATTCTATTATGGCTGCATTCCTGTATTTAATCGATTCCCAGTTAATGAAGCCTAATTCTGTATACCCACTCTCTCACTCTGTCCCTCCTGCCACTGCTACTGCTGTGACAGAATGGCTTCACACAGACCCTGCAAATGAGCCTGTGTCTCACTCCTCCTGCCAGCACTAGGACGGTGGAGAGCCGGGTGGGAGGAGCATTGTGCATGGAATCTGCTGCTAAAGGAAACCTCTTGCCTTCACTAGGGTCCCTCCATGCAACCCCAGCAGGCCTTTCATTGGTTTACAGGTCTGCTGCATGGCCGGCAAAGAGTTGCTTCTACCCTATATCTTTTTTTTGGTTCTGGTCGTGGGGCCTGAACTCTGGGCCTGGGCGCTGTCCCTCAGCTCTTCAGCTCAAGGCTAGCGCTCTACCACTTGAGCCACAGCGCCACTTCCGGCTTTTTTTCTTTTTGCTTATGTGGTGCTGAGGAATGGAACCCAGGGCCTCAGGCATGCAAGGCAAGCGCTCTACCACTGAGCCACCTTCCCAGCCCCTCTACCCTCTATCTTTTGGGACAGGCCTGTAGGATAACAGGTGGTAGTCTGGGAAAACCTGTTCCTTCTCTTCTGGATAACTTCAATGCATTCATTTAACTCCTTTCAGCCTCTATCTATGTCCTTAAGACACACGTTCTGGCGTATTTTCCCAGAGCATGCTGAGGATCCTCTGTGTAACTTCTTCAGTGCTGTTATTCTTAGAGTGAGTTGGGAACTAGGACAATCTGGAGTACCTTTCAGATGTGGAGAAAATTGCTGTTCTGTTCCTCACTCTAGGTTTGTATTAGATGAAACAATATGTGAGAACATCAAAATAAAGGATAGGCAGGTAGGTGCTGGTGGCTTACACCTGTCATCCTAACTACTCAGGAGGCTGAGATCTGAGGATCATGGTTCAAAGTTAACCTGGGCAGGAAAGTCCACGAGACTCTTTCTCTAATTAATCACCAAAAAGGTTGGAAGTGGAGCTGTGTCTCAAGTGGTATAGTGTTAGTCTTCAGCACAAAAGCTCAGGGACAGTACCTAGGCCCTGAGTTCAAGTCCCAGGATGAGCACCAAAAAACAAAACAAAGAATCAGTGTCTAGATTATAAAGAACTGCTACAACTCAACAGCAAAACAAGCCAACTTAAGCAGCAGGCCAAGAGTGGGAGAGTGCGTGCCTAGTGTACATAAAGCTCTGGGTTTGACCCCATTACCCTGAGGGAAAGGGAGTGGGGGTAGGCAATGGACTGGAGTGGACACCTGGCCAGAGAAAATGCATATGAAGCCTATAAACAGGAATCGTGTCTCATTTTCTTGAGTGGCTGTTGTTTACAAAAGCAGAAGACTACAATGTTTGTGGTCAGGGTATGGTGGCAGGAGCCCTGCGTATGCTGGAGAGGGTGATGCCGTTGCAGTGGAGTACTGTGAAGCAGCACAGCACCTCCTGAACAATGACACAGAGCAGTTCCACTGCTGAGTTGACACACAAAAGGACTAAGAGCAGGGACTGCAACAAGTATTTGTAAGCCCTGTTCCTGTGTTCGCAGTATTTAAAAAGTACAAACAACCCCAGTGGCCAGCAACAGATGAACAGATAAACAAAACGTGGGACATGTATATGCAGTGGCAGGTTATTCAGGTTTGTTGTTTATTTGTTAACGTAGGCTGGCCTCAGACTCAGGGCCTTCCTGCCTCCTTCTCCTGAGTGCTTAGATTACGGAGTGTGCCTGTTCATTTCTGAAAAGGAAGGACATTCTGGCATGTGTTAAAATGAGGATGAATCTTTTTTTTTTTTTTTGGCCAGTTCTGGGGCTTGAACTCTAAGCCCAGGGGTGCTGTCCCTGAGCTTCTTTTGCTCAAGGCAAGTGCTCTACCACTTGAGACACAGTACCACTTCAGGCTTTTTTTGAGTAGTTTATTGGAGATAAGAGTTTCCTGCCCAGGCTGGCTTCAAACTGTGATCCTCATATCTGAGTAGCTAGGATTACAGATGTGAGCCACCAGCAGCTACCTGGCAAATGGGGACGAATCTTGACAAATAGAATATGATTCTTGTCTATGAGATTCATAGCCCAGTCAAACTCATAGAGACAGGGGCTGAGGGAAAGAAAGTATGAGGAAATTGTGTTCTATGGGGACATTATCAGTTGGGGAAGAGAAAACTGTCTAGAAGTAGATAGTGGTGATGGTTCCTTAGCAGTGTGAATGTACTTTATGCCACTTAGCTGTACATTTAAAAGTGAATTAAAGCCCAGCCTACGATCATGCCTGTAATCTCAGCCACTCAGGAGGCTGAGATCTACGAGAGTTGCAATTCCAAGCTAGCCCCAGTGAACAAATACACCAAACTCTTCAATTAACCAGTAAGCACTGGAAGTAGAAGAGTGGGTCAAGAGTTAGAGTGCCAGGCATGACTGAAAAAGCCAAGCAGAGCTCGAGAACCTGAAAATTTACCCACCAAAAAGTGGATTAAATGGTAAGAACCAAAAATGAACATCAGCCAGGTGCCTGTGGCTGGTGCCTTGAATCCAGCTACTGAGGATGCTGAGATCTGAGGACTGTGGTTTAAAGCCACCCGGGGTGGGGGGGGGAGGGGGGACGGGACACTGGGAAGGTGGCTCAGTGGTAGAGTGCTTGTCTCTCATGCATGAGGCCCTGGGTTCGATTCCTCAGCACCATATAAACAGAAGGAAAAAGCCAGAAGTGGGACTGTGGCTCAAGTGGTAGAACACTAGCCTTGAGCTGAAGGACTGAGGGACGGCACCCAGGTCCAGAGTTCAAGCCCCACAACCAGCACACACATCCCAAAAAGAACACCAGAGGTAGCTTGTAAGGTGTATATGTAAGGGGAAAAGAAGACTAGAGCAGCAATTCAGTCTCATTGGCAAGGGCTCTGGGACCTTGTAGGGTACAAGGGCTTGTGTGCCACCCTCCAAACCTTTCTTAGTTCCTGACTAGTTTAGTTACTGTCTCTTCCTCTGTTAACTGCCCAGGTCCCTCGTAGATTTCCCCCCAGGGGCAAGGCTGTGGTGGTGGCCCCACTGGACCTACTCTCTGTGGGGCTTCTCTGCCCAGCATAGTAATTTTCCATTCCAGTCCTGTTCCAGTGTCTCAGCTGAGTTTGGGCCTTCTTTGGTTTGGGGGGCACCGCAGGTGTCTGGGTTTATGCCAACAGCAGCTGATCCAGCACCCTAGATAGCTGAACACCAGGAGGAAATTTCCACACCTTTCTTGGCCTCTCTGTTCTCAGGAGTGACTTACCTTCTGTTCTTTGTAGGTTTTCTTTTCCTCTGCCTGTAGCATTGCTGTGGATGCCACCCTGAGGAAGAAAGCTGAAAAGTTCCAGGCCCACCTGACCAAGAAGTTTCGATGGGATTTTGCCTCAGAGCCTGAGGACTGTGCCCCAGTGGTGGTGGAGCTCCCTGAGGGGGTGGAGACCAGCTAACTCTGGGGTGCTCAGGCCATGAGAAACCCCTTCCTGTACAGCGGCAGCCAGGCCCCTCCACTCACCATGACCTGTGCCCGGACCAGAGATCCTGCCAGCTATGGCACACATGGAACCAAATTTCTCTCCTTCAGAGGGCCCAGATGAGACCTGCCTCAGCAGCCTGATTCCTGCTGATGAGAAACTGAACCCAAGTCCAAGAGGACTGGTCACTTATTCCATAGTATGATTTAAAAAAAAAAAAAAAGATGCCCTGGAATCTGAAGAGTTAGTTGGCCAATTTTTCAGTTAAATACAGGGTTGTTGAAGGCAGAGCTAGAGCGTGTGCCTACCTGTTAGGTGGGTGTCCATGGCAGAAAGCAGGGCCAGAAAGTCCTCAGGTGCCTTTTCCCTTAGGTGCTATCCCCCTCCCACCCTGTCCATCCCACCCAGGCCTTGCTCAGCAGTGAGACTCGGCAGCCCTCCCACGTGTCCTGTTTCTCACCAGACCCACCACAACTGTTTCAGATAACTGAGATATGACAGAAGGTTCTTGCCTGGGAAGCAGGCTTCTTAGGCCCTGCGGAAGTTTTGTGCCTGCTGTTCCAAGCCACAGAGATGACCTAATTAGCCAGAATCCTGCCCTGCTGCGGAACTAGCCGTCGTTGGGGGCCTGAGGGCCCGCCCATCATGCCATGTGGGTGGAGTTGTCTCTAAATGGGCACAAAGGCCTGCCACTCTGGCCTCACACTTTGTATGGCACTCCTGAAAATGGTGCCATCCTTCTCCAAGGCTGGGCTCGCAGCATGTCTGTGGACGAGAGTCCCGCTGGTTAAGACTTCATTTCCTCTTGTTTCCTTGGAGATGTTTTTCCAAGAGCATAGTGTGCATTAAAGTCTTGGAGATGAAACTAATCTTCTCTGTGAGTCTCTCTTGCAGTTAATCTGCCCGGTCCTGAGAGCAGCCAGCCTTCTGTCTATGGATACACATTTCCCTGCAGAGTGCTCGGGACGCCCAGCCCTTCATCCCTGGAGGGGCAGGTATTGGGGACACATGTACCCTGGAGCTCCCCAAAGCCCGCCCATGAGGACTACCTGGGGAGCTTGTTAAAGTGTAGGTCCTGAGGCAAGCTACAGTGTGGATGAACCCTAAAAACAATGTGTCAGGTAAAAGACACAAATCAAGACCACACAAAAAAACAGAAGTGGAGCTGTGACTGAAGTGGTAGAGTGCTAGCCTTGAGCAGAAAAGCTCAGGGACAGCGCCCAGGCCCAGAGTTCAAGCCCTAGGACCAGGGAAAACAAAAAAAAAGGATTTGGCTTGGCTTTGAGGTTTCTGATGTTTTTCAAAAGGGAAACTGTATGAAAGCAAGATAATATGTGTTGACATAAAACAATAGCTCCTCCATCTGAGGCGGAAGTGATAACTTCAGGTCTTCTGCTTGTCCCAGTTGGCAGTCCTCTATGCCTTTGATGAATAAGAAATGTGAAAACAAATTAATTATTACTTAACACTTGCCGTATTTTTGGAAGGCAGAAGCCCTCTAAGCCAAGCTGTGAGTGTGGCTGTTCTCTGAGCTCCCTTCTAGTGCTAATGCGTCTGAAAGTGAAGCTATTGGCAGGACCTGGCCTGGTTTTAAAAGCCTCCTCAAATGCAGGCCTCCTGGGGTCTGGCTCTTATTTGCAAGGCTGGTTTATCCTATTAACAGCATCAGCAGAGGTAGTGACTTGCCAGCCCCTTCCGCTGCCCCTGTGACAAACCCTCACAGCTCCCAGACTCACTGCAGCTAATTTCTCACCACTAGAGCAATGGAGGAGTTCCCTGCCGTTGATTGCCTCTTACCGTCAGTAATTATGTCCCTAGCGTCATCCCTTGTAAATATTATTTAATATTCCCAGGGCACTGTGACATGCTGCTCTCCTTAGCTGATCAAACTTTGGCCAGCCCCTGCTGAAACGGGGGCTGGAGGTGCAGAGACAATCCACAGTCAGAGCCAGCACTGAGTCACAGCCACCAAACTGAAAGTGGAACAAGAGTGGGGCTGCTCACCGGAGCTACCCTGCAGTCCTGAGAGCCTATGGGATCCTGCCTTTTTTTTCTCTAGCCCTCTGCTGAATGCAGATGGCACTTCCTCTCAGATCCTGTGTCTTGCCTGGGAAGGCTTGGTTTTGATTGGACTTGTCTCTGCTAGCCTCCTCGCCTCTGGGGCTGGAGCCTTCTCCCTCCAGCCCTGGGCTCCTGCTGAGGCCTGGCCTCCCTCAGAAACCAAGCCAGCTGTTCACTGCTTGGGAAGAAGTGCTTCAGACCCCTCCCTCCTGGCCAGGCCTGCTACCACATTTCCAATCTGGCCCTCAGCTGGGTAGACTCTGGATTCTCCTGAGAGCAGACCTCAGGGTAGCCAGGCTGTCTCTTAAGCTGCTCTGGGGATATAGAAGTCAGAGGTTTCTCTGTGGAGTTGCCTGATGACCAGTGGTCTGTAAGAAACTACATATCCCCTTTGCTTGGGTCTTTGTCCAGCTTCTTTCCTTCCCACACGTCTGTTCCCCCTCTGACCACTTCCCCAGGTGTTTGCACATTCTAAGGGAAGCTGATAGCATTCCTTCAGAGTGTGCCAGAGAAAATTGCAGGAACTTCACCAAAGGACAGGGCGTTCTGCCCAGAAGGAGGCCTCTGCATGCCCAGTGTAAGGTGGGGTCAAGGAGAAGTTACAGAGAGGCAGAGGGCATCCCCATGTGTCATCCAGTCTTACTTGAGGGCTTGCCACAACCAGGTGCACATCCCTACTCCTGGGAGTTTCCATTCTAGGGGAGTGGTATGTGACCAAAGATTTGAAAGAGGTGAGCAAGTGAGCCCTGTCAATGTCTGGGGTTGGCAGAGTATTCCAGGCAGAGGAACAGCAAATGCAAAGGCCCTGGGGCAGAAGCATGTCTGGTATGTTCAAAAAGGATTACCAAGGGTCAATATAGTAAAGAATGTCATGGTCAAAGTGGTAGTAGAGGACATCAGAGGCTTCAGCGGGCCCCAGCTGTCTAAGGCTTATGAACTGGAGGTGAGGCTCAAGTGGCAGAGTGTCTGCCTAGCAAGTGTGAAAGCCCTGAGTTCAAACCCCAGTAGAGGGATAGGATCCCCCAAATCCCAGAAAAGTAATACCATGTATCTCTGTGTGTGTGTGCGCACGTGCACGCGCGTGCAGGTACTAGGGCTTGAACTCAGGGCCTATGTGCTGCCCCTTCTCACACAAGGCTGCTGCTCTACCACTTTGAGCCACTGCTCCACTTCTGGCTTTTTGGTGGTTAATTGGAGATCAGAATCTCACAGGCTTTCCTTCCCAAGCTGGCTTCAAACTGACCTGCAGATCTCATCCTCTTGAGCAGCTAAGATTACAAGTGTGAGCCATTACTGCTTGGTTCTTATAGCTCCCTTAAAAATAGTATAAGTACTTCCCCCAGCTTGGCCATTTGCCGTTGAATTTTATGATGTTTGGAAATGTATGTTTGACTTTTCTGTTACATGTGACACACTTGTTCTTTTTTACCTAATTTTTTTCCATTGCTTTTTTTTTTTTTCTTTTGTCAGTCATGGAGCTTGAACTCTGGGCCTGCGCACTGTCCCTGCGTTCTTCAGCTCAAGGCAAGCACTCTACCACTTAAGCCACAGCACCACTTCTGGTTTTCTGGTAGTTTATTGGAGAGAAGAATCTCACGGAGTTTCCAACATGGGCTGGCTTTGAACCGTGATTCTCAGATCTCAGCCTCCTGAGTAGCTAGGATTATAGGTGTGATCCACTGGCACCCGGCTGCTTTCTTTTTTTAAACCTCTAAAATGATGACTTCTTATTAAGTAGTATCTCAGGAAACAATAATATGAATCAATGTTTTCTAGAAAATGAAGACTATAAACAAAAAGCATTTCATCTCAGGCCTGCATGGGTCACAGTGTAATGCGTAGTTCACTAAGGTGGCTCTGCAGACCTGTGCTTTAATTCTCAAAAGTTCAGTCAATGGCTGGGAGGGTGGCTTAGTGGTAGAGTGCTCACCTAGCACGCATGAAGCCTGGGTTTGATTCCTCAGTACCACATACACAGAAGAAAAAAAAGCCAGAAGTGGCGCTGTGGCTCAAGTGGTAGAGCACTAGCCTTGAGCAAAAGCTGCTCAGGGACAGTGCCCAGGCCCTGAGTTCAAGCCCCAGGACTAGGGGGGCAGGGGAGTCCAATCAAGAGGAAAGGTATACTCCTCCCACCCCAGTTCCAGTTTTCCTGGTATTTCTCTTTACTTTTTTTTTGGGTTCGGTCATGGGGCCTGAACTCTGGGCCTGCGCACTGTCACTCAGCTCTAAAGCTCAAGGCTAGCGCTCTACCACTTGAGCCATAGCGCCACTTCTGGCTTTTTTCTTTTTGCTTATGTGGTGCTGAGGAATGGAACCCAGGGCCTCAGGCATGCAAGGCAAGCGCTCTACCACTGAGCCACCTTCCCAGCCCTCTTTACATTTTTTTAATTTCCCATGGTCAAATTCCTGTTTTCCTCTGCTTGTTGAAGCTCCGCTCCTCCCTCCATACTGCAGATCTATTCTTTCTCAGGTTTTTCTGTGCACATTTTAAGGCTGAACACACTGCCTCACGTCTCTCGCCTTGTCCTTCGTTTAGCCACCCAAGGCCTCTCACGAGCCTCCTCAGTTCTCTCACGGCTCGCACAGCCAGCCCTGGGACCCACAGTGTGGACGTATGATGGTTCCCCTCTGCTTCTCAGAATCATTTGCTCAGAATCTTCTCCCAGACTCCAGGCAGAACTACATGTACAAAACCTCATCGATTGGAAGAATCCCCTCCTCTCCCTGCCTCTCCTTTGAGGCCTGTGAGGGCCAGTGGCTGCTGCTGCCTCAGGCTGCACCGTTCATCCATGTCAGGGCTCCCTGGCTTTAGGGAAGACTTTCTTCCCCACGTCCTCTCTGATGGGGGTGTTGATCACACCCTGTCCTTCCACCACCAAGATAGGCATGCTCCATGGCCTCTTCCCTGAGGTACTTACTTTACAAGATACAGAATGCATTACAGCACATATACAGGTCTCATCATTCCATCCCAGAAAACCCTATACCTGAGGAGACCATGAGGCCAATACCAAAGGAAGCTGAGCTGACAGCATTGCTGGAGCACCTGGATCTATCCTTACCTACAACCCACAGTCCCAGACTGCCTCTATATGAAGCAAATATAGTACCTTTATTTTCTAACAGTCTTCTACCACTGCAGACAAAAATAATTCAGTTCTGTATCATAAGGCTTGGGCCCTCATTGCCTGCAAGCTCCTAAGGTGTCCAAATTTAAGGAGACAGATTGAAACCAGCCTCATCCTGGGTCTGGTGAAACCCAGTTCCCAGGAAAGAAGGAACAAAACTCATCCAATGTGCCCTGGTGAGTTGTTCCCCATCCAAGAGAAAATGAGCTTGAACTCGGTGCCAGCAGCCCGGGTAGTTGTGCAGACCTCAGGGATGGCACTGGAGTGCTCGGTGTCCTATTGATCTGTTGATTTTGGCTGTGCCACTCAGACAGGATAGTAGCTGGAGTAGGAGCAATCGAGGTGCGTGTGCAGTTGAGGGAGTACTCCAGGATGGGTGAGAGCAGGGTGGCGGCAGCTGCTACCCCGGCCTTATTGGCCTCCATGGTGGTCCACACCCGGCTGGAGCTTGCTGAGCACATGCCAGGCAGCGAGCTGAACTATGGGCTATGTTCACTCTTTGTGGTTTTGCAGCCTCCATATGAAGCAGGGATTGTGGGAACCCCATTTGCCAGCTAGGAAGCAGACCAGGGTAGTTAGGGGACTTTTCAATGGTTGCACAGCAATTTGACCATGTACTTGGACTAACCCAGGTCAGCCTGACTCTTGTCCATAGTTTTTTGGTGGTGGT